GCTTTGTCTCCCCATGGGAAAGATCGTTGCTGTGCAGCCAAACAACCTGCACAAGATCAAGCAGGTGGCTGAAGGCCAAGCAGGAAAATGGCTGCCTCAATGGGAATCCCAGTGCAGATCCATCTTGAGATTAGCCCATGACTAGACAACACTGTCTCAAAGCCGACAGCTGTCCAAATCAGGCACCAAGACACAAGTCTCATCGTGTAATTCAGGCCTTGAGGTCAGCCTTGGGGAGTGCTGTATAGGGAAATAAAGAGAAAACCAGCTTCCTAAAGCTACACAGACCACACCTTGCTCCCAAGGACGATGTGCTCACTCCCACCAAACACACCATGCTAAAAACCCCTCATGTACTTCTCAGGGCTGGAGTCCTCCCCTTCCCAAAGGCACAGACTGATGCAGAAAGCGCCCACACTAGGCCATACACTCCGTCAGGGACCCGGGCTCTGAGAAAGGACAGCCACAGCACAAACTGCAGATGTGGGCTGAAGCACTGGGGGAAGAATTCCAGTCCCCTTCCTAGAAAGGGGAGAGCAGAGCAAGTCCCATGAGAGGCTCCAATTACCAGTGCCCTGCTCTTGCCTTCTGGATCACACCCCTTGGGGAAGGGCATCTAGAAAACCATCCATCAAGCCTACCACTTGAGCTACAGCTTCAGATCTTCATTTAAAGAAATGAGACCGTTACGTTAAATTTGTATCTTTGGACAATCCAGGGCAACAGCTCATATTCATCAGCACTGGAGAAATCACACCAAGGGAAGGTTTTTTCACGTTCCTGGTAGCCCAGCAGCCAGGCTAACGTAAACACCACAAGCATTTGAAAGCTGCTGGAGAGAAAACATGCCAGCACCTATCACTGCTATAATGAAACAGCAAAGGTGCTTTTAGTTCATTTGTTTAGTTAAACAGTTTCTCCTTTGGCCCCAGCTATGTAACCAGCCTGGAAATCTTCCCAAGGGTTTTACACTTCCCAGCTCCCTGTGCAGCCTCCCAGGGCACTCGCTACAATGCCCATAAAAGCTCAGGAAGTGCAAGGCGGGAAGCAAAGCTAATGAGAGAAAAATGCATTGGATTTAAGGGGCAGGAACCCTGCACATGGGGGCAGGGAGAGAAAATGCCCACAGAGATGCCAACCACATTCTGGATAAGCAGGTAGCATGGACACAGCAGAGACCATACCAGAGCGGCACTGGGCGAAAGCAGGAGGGACAGGCTTTTGGTCAAAAAACCTACAGGAACAGGAATCTCCGTGCCATTGGGATATCTTCTGAGGATCACAGTTTTCAGCCCTTTAAGCACCCACAGGCACAGCTACACAGAAGGGCACATGTTTGCTCCAGTCATACTCTGGGCTGCTCAGACATAATCCAGACCTGACACCACATCACTGCGTTAGCACAGCGTACGCTTTGGCTCAGCAGGCACAGCAGCGGGGTTTCAGCAGAGATGACAGCGAGAATATGTGGCTCAGCACTTGCCTACACAGAATGTAGACCCTACAGCTGGAGACCTGGCATCTGAAACACCAAACAGGGTGTTGGCTGGGTTTATATATGATCTGGGGCTTTCTAGAAGGGCACTCAGTACCCAAGAAACTCACTAGTTGATTGGGATCAGGTTCTTTCGACCCAGAACTCTTCCCTACATCCCTCCAAGGAATGGCTTCGGTATATGAGTGTGTGTTTCAGGGAGGGATTATATTCTACCTGAGATGTAAAACTAAACCTACAACCGGTCCCTCCACCTGAAGAAGGAACTCACTACCTGCTGTAAGAGGCTGTAGTAACTTAAGCGTAAAGCAGGCTTCCCCTCCAAAGGCAGTTTATTAGAGAAACCACCAACCAGCCTAGATCCTTTCCAGGTAGACACCCGATACTGAGATCCTCTACCACGGATCCTTGCTGATCTGTATGATGTCACGGCCAACCTAGTGACAATCAAGGCCAATCTAGCCACTCTGCGGTGATAAAACACCAGGAAGCTTTGATATGCAGGAAGACAAAACCTCCCTGCTGCTGACAGGAGTCTCCACTAGCAGAGGGACAGAGGAATACAAGATCAGCCTGGTTTAAAAGGGAATTTCTACAACCCTCCTCCAAAGAGGTGAGCAGCATTTGTGGGTTTGTACCTCACACCTTTATGACATCTCCTCGTCAGTCTAACCAGTTGCATCCTCACCTCTGTGGGAATCGAAATTCAAAAGGAGCAGAGCTCTGGACAGAACCCAGTTCTTCCAGCTCAGCAAGGCCTCACAGTGTTTAGACACGCTCAAAACATGCAATACCAAACCCACAACCCCTTGTATCGACACAGGTTACTTGCAAACGAAGCAATGCTACTCTTACGTGATGTATTTGTTGTACAAAATAAAGGCATGCTCGATATTGCCTTCCTCCGAGTAAACGGTTGCCATGCGGAGAATTTCCACTCCGGAGCGGTAGTAGCGTCGTGGTGGGATGTCCTCATTCACTTCTACAGCGCTTCCCACCTGGATCAGTCTTCGTACTCGCTCCTCCGGTGGGAGGCTGACGTCGGCGTGGTCAGGCATAATGACACACATCAAAGCTGCCGCAAGGCTGACGAACTCTGTGGTGGGAGTAAAGTCAAGTGCATCAAAACCAGTGTAAACCAGGTAACTCATCCAGTTTCCTCAGGACTGTCTTTCCTTGACAGAAATCACCTCCCCTCAGCAGAAAAGCGTTTAATACATGGGCCAAGCTCAGTCCTGAGGGAGGAATCTGGGAGAAGTCCAGCTCTTTTTGGGCACAGTGCTTGGATATTTAGCTTTATTACCTGAAAGGCAGCCACAAATTCTAGTTCAGTCCTTGGTAACCGATTTCAAGCTAGGGTTTGACCCATCCACATCCTACCCAAAGCAGCACTTCCTTCCCAATTGTCTCTCCACACAACAGAACAAGTGCTGGTCACTAGTCTGGGCTGAAATGGCCAAAGTGTTTCATTCAGACTCGAGCAGAAGCAGCTTTACACTGGGTTTCAACACTGCAGCATTCACCACTTTGCTTACACAGCAGTAAGAAGCGGATGGAGCTGAAGGCCAACCTTCCAGCCGCTGCTGCTCAGCAGATCTGTCCTTACCCAACAAGCTCAATCCCAAATTGCTCTCGCCCGGGCACAGTTGCAATCCCTCTCTCCCCCATGCTGCAGGAGGCACGCCCATCACCCCAGGAATGCACCTCGACCTGATCCATGCGTCTGACTCCTACTTGGCTCCAACAAACCCCTTCTCACCCACAGCCCCATGGCACAAGCCAATAAATTCGAAGCAGAGGAAGCGTCAAGACTGTTTGAGGGGCAGCGAGCCCAGAAATGCTCCACAATGCTCTTTCCCCCGCACCAAAAGCGGTTTTCCCTTGGAAAAGCCCTCCCAGACCAGCATAAGGGTTAAACTCTCTATGAAATCACAGCACTGAATCCAGAGCACCTTGCAAGCCTTCCAGCAATGTGACTGCCACATACACAACATCATGATTTACTGTGGCTCCTTCCTAAATGGAGGAAAGGTCCCAAGCTGAGCTAGGCACTGCCTGAGGATCCCGACTGGCAGAGGAGTTGCCTTTCTAGGGCTACCTTCGAGCAGAAGCCCCTTTTTTAAGGCAGGCAAGCCCACATTTCTCAGCCCATATCCTGGAAGAGCCTCCACAGGCCTCTTGCCCTAAATAAGGGCTGTGAGATTCGGTCCTGCCAGAGGCTGCCGTGTCAAAGCGCTCACTTATGGGGTGTGACAGAACCACAGCTCAGAGTGGGCTTCAGCTTCTGCTCCTCTCTGATATTTCTACTGGGCGGGATGGGTTCAATTGCTCTCCCAAGCCAGAGCTCTGAGCCACCTCCCCAAACCAAAGCCCCCCTGCCAAGTTCCACAGTCCTTCTCCCCCAGAAGAAGACAGACACCACTCACACACTGTAACTCCCGGTGCTCCCAACCCAGGGCTCCCCCTCTAATTCCCACAGCAGCCCTCAAGATAAAGACAGCACCCAAACCCCCCCCCCGGAGCTGCAAGCTCCCAAACCCCAGCCCCCCCCCCCCCAACCATTGCCCACCAAGAGAGAGGAAGACCCACTCCACCCTCCAAACCAGAGCTCTCCAGAACTCCCACAGCCCCTCCCCTGTAAGGCAGAGTAGAGGAGCCCTCCAGCACTGTCTGTAACTCCCAGAACAGCCCCCCCCCGCCCTTCCCCTCTAAAAAAAGTAGGTCCCCCAACCAAAGCCCCCATGGGCTTCCAGCTCCCCACAACAGAGCAAGGGGAGCCCCAAAACGGATCCTACTTCCTAAAGGGAAAAAGACCCACAGACAGAGCCCCCCTGGCTGGAGCTCCACGAAGGGAACCCCGATACGAGACGACCCGGTCCCCCAGGACAGAAATGGCCCCCTCCCATCCCCAAAGCAGCCTTCTCTCCACTCCCTGGCCCCTCAAGCGAGGAAGGGACCCCCCGCAGACCCCAGTGCCCGGGCCCGGCCCTGACCTGCCGCCGGGAAGGCGCCGTCACCCGCCGCCTCCCCTCAGCGCTTCCGGGTTGTTGCCGAAAGCAGACAGCGCCGCCCCGCCCCCCCGCTTTCAGCAGCCAATCAAAAGGCGTCGCGACATCCGGGCAAGACGCAGCCACCCCCACCCCCCCCTTCCGCCCGACCGAGGTGCCGCTTCCTTTCCCTTAGCGGAAAGCCCGGCGTCATGACGTCAGACGCCAGTCCTGACCCTTAAAGGCGCAGCTCCCTTCCCGGCTGCACCGCTCTCTTCTCACCCCGAAAACACCCGTTCTCACCCCAAAACGGACGGGTCGCGTGGCTGAAGGCCACCGCCCAATAACCCTCCGCCCGGGTGAGAGCCGAAGCGCATCCTGCAGGGCTCGTCAGGCCCATCCCGGAGGGGGGGGGGCGGGGAAGAACTGCTCCACAACCAGGGCTCGAGGTTTATGCACTGCGGAAATTTACTTTAGCAAAAGCAGGTGAAAAGCAAAAAAAACCAAAAAAAAAATCACCTAGTTTCAGGCCGAATCTTATTTCTTGTTATGTATTGAGGAAATCAAGGAAAAGCCCTTTTTGTTGAAGGTTAAAGGGTCGCTCCAGAGGATGTTTCTTTAGGATTATTCCAGCTGCGTTTGGGTCCACATTTATTCTCCGCATCCCTCAAGGAGCGGAGCTATGACTCCGCTATGACATAAGATTAAAAAATTTCTGTGAGGTTTGTAAAAGTATCAAGGACAGGACAGGGTGGGGAGGAAAAAATTTTTAAAAAAAAGAGCTGTGTTAAGATTAAGAACATCTGCATTTGCAGTTCCCAACTGCCGGTGGAAGTTACGGCAAAGCCGCTCGTTCAAGCAGTGAGACACATCTCAGAGCTCCTCCGGGGTGAAGACGCAGCCCTGGACAGGTTTCTGTTGCGTACAACGTTCCCTATGCCGTCACAACAGGTTTCCTATGTCGGCGCCTGCGTCTCCTGGCTGCTCGCGTTTCCTGGGATGGGCAAAGGTGGGAGCTCTGGGCGGGAAAGGACAGTCCATTGTGCCGCTCCTCAGTGGGCAATGAAACCCAACAGTTCCTCACTGCCAAACTGCGTGGCTGCCTTTGCTCCGTCGCTCCGTGCTCGCGTGCCAGCTCCTGGTGTTGTGCCTGCGCCTTGGCGCCTCGCCTGCGGTTCTTCTTGGCACTGCTGGAGTTTCTGGAAGAAAAATTCAGAAGTCGGTACCAGGAGAAGTCATGGCCCCCTTCAGTCTCTCTGTACGCTGAACCCGAAAGGGCCGGTTTGTGAATCCCCTCGGTCCCTCCACATTCACCCGGGCCCTTCTGCTACAGCCTGAACAATGCGACACCCAGGAAGAACACCCAGCTAGCAGCTTATTTCCTACATGCTGATTTCTTACAGTAAGGGAACTTTTCAGCAGGAAACATTTTGCACGCCCCTGAAGAGTGGGGCTGAACGACCCACTGCTCCATGAGAAGCAGGCACTGGCTACCACACATCTGCTCCCAAGACGGTTTCGGAGCTCCCCCACAGCTAGAAGCTGCCAGAGGTCATCTCCCACCCAGGACGCGCGCCCCAGGTCAAGAGGAAGCTCTTTACCTGCATTCACTGTTCCCCTGCCATCCCTGCTGAGACGGGAGGAGCCTAGAAACAGAAAGAGAGTTACCGCTTCACTCTCAGGGAAGAGCTGCCTCGCTCGGCACCCAAAGTCCTCTTGGCCCCGAAACCTCTCAGACAGCTTGAGAACCTTTCAGCCCCACTGGGAACTAGTGCCAACGCTGTCAGTTACGTTACTCTGCATCTACAGGCACAAGTATGTTCTTCAGAGGCAAAGAGCTTTGCTGCTGCAGACACAAGGAACACTTCAACATAGGCTCTAGACAAGTTTCAGGGAGGTTTTTTTCCCCCACAGCAGAGATAGCAAGGCAATGGGCGCTCTCTTGTGAGAGTTGCGGCTTGTAAAAATCCAAGTTTAAGTTTCTTAAAAGTGAGAAAGCAGCTCTTTTTGTTCCATCTGTTCAGCTGAACAGCATGCACAGAGGCAAGAAGCAAAAACCTACCTGGGTACCGCTAAGGGGGATTGGTTCGACTGATGCGGATGATGTTTGGCCATCTGCTTTTTAGTGTTTGGTGTAGCGCCGGCTTTTTCTTTGAAGGGGCCCGAACCCAAATTCTTTAGTCCGCAGTTCCTTAAGAAGAATTCTGTATGTCTTGACTGTGTCCACAAACCATTCACCAAGTAATCACAACAGTCTTCTACACTTAAAAAACCCACACCTTTGCATCACTGTTCCCTGAAAAAAGGAAGGGCAGCAGGCCTGTGGAGATCTTTAAACCCAGGTCTTCCAAATGCCCACCTTCCTCCTTACCCACTGACCTGTTCTACCTCCCTTCCTAGGAGCTAGTCACATTTAACATCTGTTGCTTGACAGCAGCTCTCCCTGGGCATATGCAGTCGCTCATGGACACAAAAAGACTTACTTTTTTACAGATCTTTTCCGAAGATCTTGGATATAGTTGGTTCTCTCTATAGGATGCCCTCGAGCTCTGTTGAACACTGGAGAGAGACGGGTCTGAGTTACGACGACGCTCTGTACAAGTCATCTTTGGGGCTGGCAGAGCACTTAAACCCTTTAGAAGGGTTTTAACCCCTTCAACCAATACTTCCAACACTCAGGTCACATAGGGTGATTCCACTCAGGATACCACTCTTTGCACGAGAGCCTGTCACAAGGCAGACACGCAGGCAGAGCTGCGGCACAGCTCGATCCAACCTGTGCTCAGTGTCCCCCACCATGTTCACTCAACTCTGGTTAGCTCCACAGTCAGGCCATAAACTTAATTTCTTCTTTCCAATTACCTCAAAGAACCCCCAACACCTCCCCTCCTCCAGCTCCCATTCTACACGACAGGAAAACACACACACACAGAGCTAAAACACAGTTACCTCCCTGGAGCTAGCCCAAACCTTTTGGCCATCTAAAACCACAAGTCCATGATAAACGTTTCACATCGAACAAGAACATACACATACGTACACTCTATTGCAGTATTTGGGTCCATTCCTTCAACATCAATCAGGTACCTGAACAGATCAGCAAGAAAGCTCTAATTACACAATTAACTATGGAAACATTGTCAGGTTAGCGATGATTCAAAAAGGAGTAACTGGGAAGTTTTTAGAGCTTCTATTTACATGCCAGAATGAAGTATCAGCATTTGGTCTGCTGAAATCAGGGATAAAAAGTGCCCCCTAACAACCACCTTCCCGAAGCTGAAAAGCTTTAAATCCTTGCAAGTCTGGGACTACGCAGATCACTTGACTCTTGTTTTACTGGTGCAACACTATTTCCTCCTAGAGCAACAAGAAGCTGGCAATGCCACCACTTAACTCAGTTTGACTAAGGACAACTCACCTACAAACCAGGTAGCCAGTTCTGTTCAAGCCATGCGTGCAATGAACTCCGATGAGTTTATCTGTAACGCACAACAATCAGGTTATATTTAAGTGCTTTTTCTCCAAAATCCCACCAGAACAAGCCCATTTGCATTCACCCTCCAACAGCGACACCAGTGTAAATCAACAGAAACGATCACGCAACATCACTATATTTATGTCTAATTAGCGCCACCAATTCAGCTCATTAACTCATTTAATTCTGTGACTCATCTGCATGGTCACACAGCTCACTGCAGGGAGGATGTATTTAAAAGCTCCACAAAAAGCTATCTCACATTTCCCAAGCACTAACAGCTTGCTGCTTACACCGCTACCAAAAAAGCAATCAGTATTTACAGCCAGTCTAGATATGGAGTCTCAAACTCAATTAAAACTCGACTCACTGCCAAATTATCAGAGCGCCAGCATGAATTCCTTTACCATAACAAACCAACCTTACTGCCCTGACATTCACATGCCAAGAGAAGCAAAAAAAAATTCATGCTGTTCATTAAAACATCCCTGGCCTCCAAGTCTGCAGTGCCCTTCCCAACAACAGCAAAGTAAGGGAAATCCACACTTACCATTGTCTTTGTTGTCTCTCAAAAACTTTTTTACAACGCATTTGAATTGAAAAATGGTGTGCCTGTTTGGTATTTCATGTCCCATTGTCAAGATCTTTGAGTAGCAGAGTGTGGCTGGGAGCTCCTACAAGAAAGTCAGTCAATAATTTCCAGAAAAAGCACGAGTATTCTTAGCAATTAGAGATTTCTTATCAATTAGAGATCCCCTGCCGGAGAATTCAAGGGCATCACACTCTTTAAAGTTATCTTCTTGCAAGAAACGTCTTCCACTTTATCAGCAATATCAGGGCTTACACAGAGCTTCACTCCCCTGACAGTAAGACCAAGACTGACCTCTGGCCCGTAGTAGCGAGTTGTGTACGTCAGGTCGATGATCAAGCCCAGCTCTTCCTTCTGCTCTTTGATTTTCTTAATGAGGTCACGAGGGGAAAATCTCTCCTCTGGATGAAGGTTCTGATCAAAGCTCTGAGGGGATATAACGTTTAAGAGCAGACATTAAATGCAGGTGCATTGCGACTGGTGGGAAGAGGTTCATGCTCCAGAACCTCCCAAAGATCATCCCTTCAAAGAGAAAGACGCAGGCAAGGAGCAAAGGCACATGGAGACTGACGCACAAGTTACACTGAGCCAAACCAGGATGTGCTCAGGCCCTCACTGCTTTGGGACTGTTCACCTGAGGCTTTCCAGGACTGACTGAAGGTTTCATACTGTGGCAAAACACTGCAGCATGACAAATGTGCTATAAAATAGGCTTGCAGCTCTAACAGAGGTGAGCAAACAGCACTGCTCCCCATCACAACCTCCGCAACCCCCACGGACATGACCCACAGTGTTTGTTTTAGGCATAACTGCTGCACTCAAACCACTCTGGAGCAGAGCTCGCCCCAGTGTTATCAATTAATATGTATAATATGATTGAAATAACCAGGGAGCTGCTAAAGTCCTGTGTAGAGCCCCCATCAGTTAATATTTAAAATAGGGAAACAATAACTAGACATGATTTAGGGTTTAGGAACTAACTACTAGACAATGGGGCTTTATGTTTATGTCAGAAAAGGTAATGGATTGTGGTCTGATCAATAAACCTTGAAGAACTGCTTGGAACTGCCAAGATTAGGGAAGTAGGTAAAAGGTAATTCCTACAGGGGGAGATTGTGGTCACCGACTCATTGACCACCTACTCAAAAGAAGACAATGAAGGAAGAAGACTGAGTCTGTGCACTAATTTACATGAGGGGCGAAGAAGAAAGAACCAATCATTAAGGAAAGTAACAATGAATATGTATTAATTAAGTATATAAATGCGAGGATTAAGACAAAGGTGTGCTGTCTTGAGACAGGGACCCATTCATGCACATCAATGAAATTAGTCTGAAAATACCTTGACTCTATGTGTTATTGGTTTGCACATTGGGTAAACTAACCCCGTTTGTGGGACAACACCAGCACGCAGTGGCAGGGACCTCCAGGCACAGCCGGGTGGGCAGCGGTGCTGCCACACTGACCCCTCACAGCCTCCGCTCCCAAAACTCAGCTCTGGCACTGCATTTGTTGGGCTGCACAGCCCCTGGGCACCTGGCAGTGCCAGCAGGGGCTGCCTGCAGCATCCCTCCTGCCCTAACAGAGCCGACCTGCACAGACCTCCTTGTATCTGGGCTGCCTGGGCGGTGCTGCTGGCACCCAGAAAGCTGCCAGAGACCCCCAGAAGCCATTCCTGGTCACCCCCACAGCATGAATGCCACCGCCATCCTGTCACACACTCCGTCTGCTCAAACAGCAGCTACCGTGCTGTGCTCCTCTTTCCCGCAGGTTATGATCCAGTTACCAAAAATAAACAACAAAATGATCTAGTGACACTCCTTCTCGTTTTTTGGAAGGAATTCGCTCATTGATACCACAAAGTGGTACTTTCCCGTGGCCCCTTTCCACCTCAAACAGTCCCAAGGCATCAGCAAGTGCTTACCTGCTTCAGGGGGACCTTGAAGGCAATGAAGCGGGTGCCCGGCATCCTCCTGCCCAGCGGGAGATAGTCAGTCCACCTAAAACCCGCAACACGGAGACGTTAAACGGCTGAACCGGGCACCGGCCCCGCCGCCCCCCCGCCCGGGGACCCTCAAAACCCCCAGGCCCGGGGACCCTCACCCCCCCCCCCCGAAGTCCCCCAAGCTTTAAGCTACGGCTTCCCGCTGCCCGAGGGCTGCCATACGTTCAATGTAATGAGCCACGGAGCGCCGCTGCTGTCAGGGCCCGGCCGGGCCCCGCGGCTGCCGGCAGCACCGGGCCCCACGCCGCCGCAGAGAGCCGGGGCAGCTCCCGGGAGGCCCCTGGGCCTGGAGAAAGCCGCGGAGCTGCGTGAGGACAAGACAGGGGAGACGCACTCACCGGTCCGGTACGCGGCAGGCCCCTCTGCCCACCATGATGGCGATGGCGCCGGTCCCCCCGCCCGTCAAACGCCACTTCCGCTTCCGCCACCTTGACCCCGCGCGGCCGCCGTCCACGCCGGCGAAACAGCACTGAGGCCCCGCCCCCAGTGAACAGACCACGCCCCCTCCGATGAGAGGCAACGCCCACCGCCCGGCAGCGCCTGAGGCTGTTGCGCCCCCTAGCGGTTAGAAGTGGGTACAACGGCCCCGGAACCGGCACCGCCATCACCGACCAGTACGGCCATCACCGCCCCAGTACCGCCCCAGTACGGCCATCACCGCCCCAGTACGGCCATCACCGACCAGTACGGCCATCGCCGCCCCAGTACCGCCATCACCGCCCCAGTACCAGCATCACTGTGCTGGTACCAGCATCACTGTCCCAGTACCAGCACCAGCACCCTGGTTCACCCCAGCACCAACATCACAGCCCCAGGACTGGCATCCCCACCCTGTGCCAGCACTGGTACCAGCATCCCTGCCTTGGTACCAGCATCCCCACCCTACGCTCGTACTGGTACTCCCAGTACCAGCATTGCCCATCCCACTAGGAGCAACCCCCACAAGTACCACCTGCGGACCCCCACAAAGGCTCACCCCACGGGCTGCCCATCATGGCCACACAGTACAGGTACGGTTCCCCATAGCTGGGAGCAGCAGTTGCCCCTTGGAACAGAAAGGGGGAGCACAAAAACAACTCAAAAATACCCCAGACCCTTCCATCCCAGTCTCTGAGGCAAGACGGGGCAGCACACACGTGTCGGCATCGCAGGGTCACTGGTGCCAGCCCCATCCCTTCCCCTCGGACACGAAAATCACCTCCCCCCAAAAATATCATTGTTGGGATGGGAAATTGTTGGCAGCGGGAACCATCGTAGGGATGGGAAATCATCGTGGGGATGGGATATCGTCGTGGGGATGGGATATCATCACCGGCATCACCATAACCGCCCCAGTAGCAGCGTGAGTGGCCAGGGCTCCTTTGCCATATGCAGACACTTATTCATATATATATATATATATGTATGTACTGTGCATGTAATCGCTTTTCAACCTCCACGCTTTCCTGGCCCTGGGAGTTTTGTCCCAGGATGGGGACTCAGCCAAGCCAGGGCAGGATTTTCCAGTCCGTGGCATCTCATTCCCAAGAGGGTGGTGGGGAGCAGCACCCTGTGCCCAGCCTGGAAAGATGCTGCTAGCATCTCCAGCTGGGAGAAAAGCCCCTTTTCCAGAGGGAGGAAAACCACATGGATTAGCATCAACGCCAGGAGGACAGAGGCGTCAGCAGCTGGTGGTGGGGAAGGGCCGGCTTGACTCGCCCGGCTGAGCAGGGGGCCCACCTCTCAGGGTGCCCCGCGGCTGTCTGGGCACACGGGGGCTGCTCCCTCTGCACCAGGGAAATCAGGTTGAACCTCCCTCGTTTCCAGCCAACCCTGTAATTAGTGCTCAGCCCATGCTGGCGAGCAGGATCCTGCTCTGGGAAGGAGCCGCGGCTGCCTCAGGGTGTGAGGCAGGGACCGGCTGAGCACAGAAAACTTATCTCACACCTGGCTGACAAGCGGACATTGCTAGCCAGGGCTTGCTGTGCCTCTCCATGTGTCCCCCCTGTTTTCCCTTCTTCCCAGCCCATTGCTACCCTGAGTGTCAGGATGCTTTTGCAAAGGGTGATCCTGCTCTGCATGGACCCTGTCTGTGGACGTGGATCCATCTGCAAGGGCTTTTCCACTCCCCAAGTGATGTCCAAATCCCAGATCCCTCCTTCCAAGGTGGCTGCGGTGGGGACGAGCACCCTCCAGCCCAAGAACAGGGGGTTCATTGCCACCTGGCCCTCTCCCCAAAATCCTGGAGGGGCTTTGCCACCCGTTTTGGGAACGGCCTTGACTGTGGGGATCCCGCAGCGGTGACTCAGGGATGCCAGGGGTTGCGAAACAGGCCTGGGATGATTTGGGAGACGCCTCCACGCAGCCCCGCCAAGCCCAGCCGCCCCAGGGAGCCCGTCGGGGGAACAAGCCACGGCAGCGTCTGGGCTCTGCGCGGCAGCCGACCCGTCAGGCAGGTTTCCCGGAGCAGCGAGCCGAGTCGGAGAGAGCCATCTGGGGCCGGGCATGCCCCTCTGCCCGCTCACCGGCTGACAGAGCCCCCTCGGCTCTCTCCCCACCACCAAAGCCATGCGGGCAGCTGGGTTGCTGCTGGCTTGGGTGCTGCTGCGTCCCGCCAGCACCCAGCAGTGCCACCTTGCCAGCCCCGGCGGTGTCCTCCGCTTCACCGACAGGCATGCCGAGATTCGGGTGCCGGCGCTGCACCGGGTACCCAGCTCACTTGATCCTTTCTACGGCCTCGTCCGGCGCTGCCTGGACCTCATCCAGCAAAACCCCCTGCCCACAGGTGAGCCCCAAGCTGGGGAGCCAGGACCCCAGTGCCACGGGTCCCAAGACCACCGGGGTTTTGCAATACCTGGAGCCGGCTGCAATCCCTGTGTCCAGAGCTGCTCCGGGGGGTCTGAGCCACTTCACGGAGGGGGATGCTGACTCCATCCCGGCCTCGCTGCCTGGGGAGGGCTGGGCACGCATCAAGTGGGACCTCTTTTACCGGTACCGCGGTTTCTTTTGCAGAGCTGCTCAGGGCGGCCCTGAACGACCCCGGCTCGGTGCAGACATTGCAGGTGAGCCAGGACGTGGGGTGGGGAATCCCACGGGGATGGCATCCACCCGGGATGGGGCACCTGGGCACATGCGGAACCCCAAGCTGGGTGCATTGGTGCCAACCGGGCTCTCCCATCACATAGGTGGTGCAGTATGAGCTGGGTTATGTCATCTGCGCCGCGGTGGCTCTGCTCTTCACCGTGGCTGTGCCAGTGGCCGGGATGTGCTTCTGCTACTGCCGGAGCCGCCGGCGGTGCGGGGGCCGCCTGCGTGCCCACCGGCGCTCGCTGGGCTGCCGTCGCCACTGCCTGCTGGCCTGCCTGTCCCTCACCTCCCTCGTCATCCTGTGAGTCCCCCAAAGCACCCTGTGAACTGGCCCCCTCACCCCGGGGCAGGGAACCGTGTTCTATGTGTCCGGGAGGCTCTGCCGGGCTGCCCCATCACCGCCTGCTCGTCCCCGGCAGGACCAGCGTCATCTGTGCCTTCGTCACCAGCCAGCGGGTGAAGGGGCAGATGGAGCCGGGGCTGGGGGCCGTGCCGACCACCCTGCGCACCCTGCGGCAGCACATCGCCAACGTCCCCCAGGTGGGTCCTCCACCAGCTTCCCCCCGGCGTGGCGTGCAGCCCAGGGGTGGCCGCGTTTCCTTCATGGAGTAGTCTGGGAGGCGAGAGGAGGTGGTGCATTAAAATGCGCATTAAAAGTGTATTTTGAATGGCAATGTGGGGCTTCCTCCCCTCCCGGCGGCTGCTACCCCCGGCCAATCATCTCCTCTCTTCTGGCAGGGGGTGCAGATGGTGGTAGACCAGTTCGAGGTGCCTCGACAGCAGATAATCTCCGACCTGGGTGGTAAGTGCCGCACCGGGCACTGGTGGGCACCCACCTGAGCTTCCCACCGGGATGAAATGCTGACAGGGTGCCCGATGCCTTGCAGGGCTCAGCCGGAGCGTGGGGCTCTCCATCCATGCACAGCTGAAGGCGATGACCTACGCAGCACTGGCAGACCTGCAGGACAGGGCTGGAGGTACGGCCGAGCGCGGCTCTCCCTGGGGGCCAGTGCCAAAGCCTCGCTGGAGAGCCGGGGCGGCCAAGCGGAGCAGCGTGAACTAGCCCTGGGCTTTCTCTTTAAGACCTACAGACCTCGCTGCACCATTTACAGATTCTCGACAAGACAGTGCGGGCGCTGGCAGCAGCGCGGGCTGAGCTGGAGCCGGCGCTGCGGGAACGGCGTCGGCGCGTGGTCGCGTTGCTGGACGACCCGCGCTGCACCTCCTGCGCCAGCGTCCTGGGCAGGGCACAGAGCCTGGAGCTGGGCGCCGACTACGGCAAGGTGGGACGGGGTGCTGGTCCCCCACCATCACCCCTCCGGTAGCCCCGAGGCTCATGGGTTACTTCTTCTACTCCAAGGTGCCATCGGTGGAGAAGGTTTTGAAGGCGCTGGCTGGTCTGCCCCGAAGTGACTTTGCGGAGATGATTCGCCAGGTTGGTGGGGTCGGGATGAAGCAGGGGGGTCCGGCACTCACGGGCAGCCCCGGCCGAGCCGCTCAGCACCCCCTCTTTCCTCACAGGGCAATGGCACCTTCAACTCCATCCCAGAGCTGGCCGTGGAGAGGATGGCGCAAGTCATCCAGGGTGAGTGGGACGGCCAGGCTGAGCAGGGACACCCTCTGTGGGGCAAATCCCAGTTTGGGGACATAGGGTGGACCGTGGGGACCATCCACCGCTCCAGCATGGCCTTGGCCCCGCAGATCTGCGGGACGAGATGGCCCGCATGACAGAGAAGGTGCAGTCCATCGCCGATGCCTTCCCCCTCCCCGACTACACGAGGCCCGTCAGCGAAGCCCTGGTGAAGGCAGAGGACAGGAGCCAGCCGTACCTCCGGGAGGTGGAGCGCTTCGAGTGGTACAGGTGACACTGGGGAGCATGAAGGGGTGCAGGGGGTACAGCAGAGATGGGTGCTGAGCCCCCCCCGAGCCCTAGCTGGTGCATCAGCCCCATATCTCGAGGCTGTGCCCTGCTGCTCTTTCCGCCAGGTGGATCGCGGGCACAGTGCTGTGCTCCATCATCCTCCTCATCCTGGCCTGCAACGTGACAGGGATGGCCCTGGGGGCATACGGGCTCTCCAAGCGGGAGGACCCAAGCGACTACGAGTGCCGAGGAGAAGCCGGCGCCAAGTTTCTCCTGGTGTAAGCAACTTTCTGGGTACTGGAGGGGGCTGTTGCCATCTCACCCCTCCCACCCCCCCCCCGAAAAATAGAGGGGCAAAGCCAAGGGAGGGACCCGCAGCCGGCCGAGTGGAAAGGCTTTTGAAGCCACCGCCTGCGCCGGCGGGTTTGGGAGAAGCTGCTCCTCCCTGGGAGCCGGCAGCTCCCGCGCCCCGGCCCCGCTGCCCGGCACACCCCA